GTCCCCACTGGAAGATGCTTTAGACTTGTGGCAGGCTTTGGGGCCTTGCTCTGGGCCAATTCTGCCGGGTAGACTTTTACCCACAAGGGGACGGGTAACTTTGGGTACTTGATTTAGAAACTATATTCGTTGCCTTTCCTGTATTGTGTCCTAATTGTATTGAAGTTCCTTCCCATTAAAGTCTCATATGTTTTGTGTTGATGTGGTGGATGGCAGAACCTATTTAGAGCAGGCAGGTTTGCGGGGTCTGGGGTGCCCCTCTCCCTGCCCTGCAACAAAACCTCATTGGGTCAGAACCTCTCTCAGCGGTTCTGGGTCTGGCCACCCACCACCACAAACACAAACAATAGGACTTTCGTGCAGGGATAAAAGATTTATTCTAGTTTACACATTAGAGGGAGAGAGAGAAATAGTAGGGGTAAGGAAGATGTAGAAGGCCCAGTAGCTGAAACAGAGAAAATTTAGGGGAATGACTAGGTTGGTGGGACCTCACCCACAAGCTTACACTTACAGGATGTGACTCAGACACAGACACATGGAGAGAAACAACATCAGGATTTATTTACAGGGAGGTAAAAATTTAGAGAGTGATGAGAGTTCATAAAAGACTGCAACATGACCAATGCCTACCCCAGAAAGTGTCTATAGTGCAAAATCCAAACCAAAAGCTACACATAGAAGATGGTGGCTGTGCCTCCAATGAGATCCTGGAACCAGATGAAAGGGCTGCCTTTCAAAAGCAGTGAACCAGAACCTGACTTGAGGTGGCAGGCAGTTGGCCATGAGAAGCAAGTGCTGGTCAGAGGTGGTAGCAGATTAGAGAGGCCAGTGTGATGGGAGCACGTGGTAATTGTAATAGGGACTAGGGAGGTGGAGGAAATCGGGTAAGAGACTATGTATGGTGTAGTAGGAAATCCGCACACACATATTGTTTATGGCCTGTCTGCTCTGAGTTAATTTTCCAATCCAAGGACATATCTGGAGGAGGACAGGGAGCCAGCGCTATCTGAAGACCAGCCTCAGCACACTGGGATGAACCTGAGGCCAGATGTCCAAGAGGACAGTAAGGAGGGCTGGGGGCTGGACATCACAAGCTCCTGGCAGCAGTGAAGGCCTGCTTACTGCTGAACTGTCTTTATTCAACTCACTATAAAAAGCCAGCTGGTATGAAAGGTTAATGTGGTTTCTTTAGGGTGTTAAGCACTCACTGCTGTCCCCCGTCCACCCCCCATCTTCCAGATTGCCAGCTGTCTGATCAAAGCACCTTCAAGACTCAAGATTCAATTCCTGCCTCTATCGGCATTTGATGGTGACAGGTGGCCTGAACTCTGGTTTTCCAATTACAATTGGAAGCCAGCTGTAATTGCAGGGATTCAGAGGCAGCAGATCTCTGGCACCAGAGGCAACAGTGTTAGCAGCCAGTGGTGATTGCAGGCAGTGCCACTGAGGCAGCACCAATCGGAGGCCAGAGGCAATCAGAGGCTGATACTGCAGCAATTGCAGGTGATGCTGAGTGCAGATCTGTGGCACCTGAGGCAGCAATGATCAGAGGTGGCACTGTGGAGATGGCGGTGATCAGCAGCCAGAGGTGATTGCTGGAGCTGCTCATAAACCATCTGGGTGTAGCTGAAAAAGGGACCACACCACCTGGCCAGATATCGGGGGCACAATGGAGCCAGGTATAGTCACTGAGGGGGGCTATGTGGAGCCAGGTACAGTCCAGTGGCAGTGAGCTGGACCGTAAGAAGGATGTGTGGCTTTACTGTGCCCAAAGCTAGTACCTGGCAGCATGCCTGAGCCAGCAGCTGCAGCATGTGTGTCCCAGTCACACAGGCAAAATGCAATCACACAGGTGAGTCACTCAGCCTGACCCAGACCTTACCGGCCCAGAAACATTTGGCACTGCTGCACTTACTCCTCAATATCATGGAGCCTGGGTTGAGAATAGGGGGCAAATCTTGGGGCTCCAAGTGATCCTCTTACATTCCCATGATGTACCAAGTGGCTGCTGTTACAGGAGCCAGAAGGGTCTGCCACATCTGGAGCCAGAGACTGGGGAATCCTGGGGAAAAAATCTTACCAAGTCCTTCCACTACCAAGGCTGCAGGGTTCAGTAGAGCTCGTCACTGCTGAGGTCAGGAACTCTGCCTCATGCAGAGGGTGAGCTGCCCATCACAAAACACTAGTAATGTCTTCAACCTCCTCCCCACACCTCAAGCATTGTGGAAAAACAAAAGAAAGTGATGAGGAAAGAGAGGGAGAAGACATCCACCCTCACACGTTTTCAAATGACTTCTCAAATAGATCATGTTAAACGGGGTGACCAACTCATTGGATTTTTCCCAGTAAACTTTCCCAATTTTAGCACTGAAATTTCCATGTCATAGAAAAGCCCATCAGTTCCAGGTAAACTGGGATGGTTGGTTACCTAACACCCTAATGTGCACAAACACAGACAACACACATTAATAAAATTCATCTAATTATGTGTATTTGCACTTAGGGAAAATAAAAACTTAAAATGATAGGCTTTAGAATGGAAGAAATCAAAGCTTGGATCCCAGTTTTATCCTTTATCAATGGTGTGACTAAATATCTTAAGAGCTCTATTTAGCAATTCTTTTGTCTATTTAATGGAATAAAAATTGTACACCTTGTCAGGGCTGGTGTGAGAATTCAGCACCTAATAAAACCATCTTACCTCTTGGGTGAACTCAGCCTCCAGTTCTTTGCTAACGTCCCCACACCAACTTTATTTTTTCTTTAGAGAAATTAGTTTGTGTCTCAAGAGTTAGTATATCTATATCCCAACTAGAAAAGGAGCCTTTGTGAGCAAGGACTATACCTTTACAGTTCCTAATACTGTGGGTATCAGAAAGGTATAAAACCCCTTATTTTTACCAACGTCTAACTCAGTTGCATCTTCTCCAGCGCTCCACTGTGAGCACCTCCCTGTTATCTTCACTGACTCTTTGGCTGGATGTTTTTTCAGCATGAGAGACATCATCAGCATGTCTACAAGTTACCCCTACTTGATGGGCACACGTGAGCATAATGGGTGCTCCCAGTCATAGTGTGACTTCAAGAGGACTTTATTTATCCATTGTTTCCCTGTGGGCTCATAACCAATGCCTCACAATCTATTTTCCTGTGCCAGTGAAATGGAAATTTCTGAAGAGGTTGGATACATGAGGTCTTCTCAGTTATTTTCTCCTTGGTGGGAGTCCAATAGCTGGATTCAGCCTCGTCGTAGGTCTTGGAAGGTGGAAGGTGGGAGGTAAACAGGTAAGTAGTGGGGTCATGGGCACTGATAGTCATGAACAGATTCCACGAACCCCAAACACAGAAAGTGAGCACCCCATACTGTCACCTGATGCAGGGCTGTGTCTATGCCTTTTGTACACATGTGGTTTGCTGCTATCCCCAACTAAAGTCTATGGTTTAACAGTTCCTGCAGGCAGAGACTCTGATGTAGTGTTTCATGTAATGCTGAACACATAGTAGTTGCTTTAAAAAAATTCTGCTTACAATGATGACTATTGCTCTAGGATCACACTGTTAAGTGTTAATATAACGCAGTTGATAGAACAGGACAGTGATTAGTTTTACAGAATACAACTTCCAGAATTAAATAATGTACTGGTACAGTACATGGTGAATGTCCTTGTGAGCAGCTCCAACTGATGCAACCCTTTCCCATGGCTTTATTAGCGATATAAGTGCCCCAAACATGGGAATAATTCAGCTGAGCTGGAGGAGATTAGGTGCAGGAGAAGGTTCTGTGATCCAGAAAAGGAAAGGAAGAGATAAACTTAATGACAGAGACATCCTAGGTTGAGATAATGCTGCAAAGTTAGTAAGTGGCTCCTGGGAAACTGTCCCAGCAAATGAGTCTAACCACTGTCTTATTCTCTCACTCATCAATAATTTTATTTTATTTTTTTAAAGATTTATTTTATTTATACAAGACCTAGGGTATAGGCCAGATGCACGGGAGGGTGAGAGGATTCACCAGAGACAGAGCGGGGAACAGAACAGGCAGACTGACAAAATACACTGCTGAGGGAGCAGCGGGCAAGACAGGAGAGGTCTGCTTGCCTTGTGGGTTGCTCCAAGGCCGGTGGGGATCAAACCAGCTCTGCAGAGGCTGTGGACAGCTTCAGAGCACTGTGCTCAACCGCCTGCACCACCAGGGAGGCCCCTCATCAATAATTTTAAATAAAACTTGAAGCTATGATTTCTAGCAAAGAAAGCAGTGATAAGTTTGCCAGATAAAAATGCCAGAAATCCAGTTAAACATGAATATCAAATAAAGAATCTATCTATCTATCTATATATTTTTAATGTAAATGTGCTCTAAATATTGTTTGGAACTTATGCTAAAAAATTTGTTTCTCTGGAATTCAAAAAAAAATTTTTTTAAGATTTATTTATTTATTTATACAAGCACTGGGTACAGTCAGAAGCGCGGGAGGGTGAGGGACTTCGCCAGAGCAAGGAGCAGAACAGGCAGAAGGACCGAAGTACACTGCTGAGGGGAGCAGCGGGCGGCAGGAGAGGTTTGCGCGCCATGTGGGACCCTCCTCCAGTGGCCAGGGAGCAGCCGGGGATCGAGCCAGCGCTGCAGAGGCCACGAGCAGCTTCGTAACCCAGCGCTCAACCGCTGCGCCACCTGGGAGGCCCTATTTGGAATTCAAATTTAACTGAACTTTTGTATTTTTATTTGTTAAATATAGCAATGCTAGTTAATGAGATACAGGATTCATTTTACAGAAATCCACTTGATAGCTTATCTCTATGCAAATACCTTTAAAGAGACACCACTCAATTAACAAACACATAAATGCAGATAATATTTCTTTCTTTACTGTGAGTCATACTACTTTATTGACGTACAAGTCAAAGTCAAGATTCCAGGTGACAAACCCCATTGGTTAGTTTTATCTGTGTAACAATTGAAGCCTCATGTGTGATAATGATCTTGGGTTTGACTGGAAGTATTAGAAGCCGTGTCTCTTGAGGTATTTGGCTCGTGCAAGGACATCATTGCAGAAGTCACAGCTCAGATCCTGGGTACTTCTGACATAGCCATCTCCTCCATTGTAGGCACAGAGTCCACCTGGAATTCACAAGAAAGGTTATGCTGACCCCACAGCCTTTTATTGCTTCAGGGTACTCAGTAGCTAACTTAGATTCTCTTTCTTTATTGCTAATCAGGAGGCAACTGAGGTTTGGGGGACTCTGATGCAAAGCATGATATTTGTTTCTATTAATTCTATGCTGCAAAACCACCGGCCCGTGTGGTACCCATACCTCTCAGATACTGGTCGGGGGTCCACGTTGGAAACCTCCTCTGGATTTCTTTGATTCTAAAGGTCAAGTTTTCAGTCACTTGTGAAACCTGAGATTGGGTTATCCTGGTTATGGGAGTATAAAAGCCAGAATCCTAGAGGGAGCGAAGCAGAGGAAAATCCAGGTAAGTCAAGTGGGATGGTGATGTTGTTTCATAGGACCAGTACTGTTTTTTCATTTCCCTTGGCTTTCTTGCTTCCTCCTTTGGCTGAACCAATGCCACTTTCAGTCTTCCTAGGGATACGTAATAAAACTACAAGGTTTGGGCAAAGGAAAGAAGATATTTCACTGATGTTTCAGAATTATAGTGAGATGTGAAGTTGGAAGCCAAAGGTGACAGGGGTATCACAATGCAGCCTAATGCCCTCTGTGTTGCAAACACAAGCCCTCCAAACAGGTCAGAAATACATTTTTTCTATTTGTGCAGTCATGCATTTTGAATGATAGGGATTTGTTCTGAGAAATGCACTGTTAGGCCATTTATCATAGTGTGGATGTCATAGGGTGTAATTCCACAACCCTAGATGGTATAGCCTTTATGCATCTAGGCTGTATGGTGTAGCCTATTGGGAAATCTATTGTTGGCCAAAATGTCTCTAAACAACACAAGACTACACTTATAAGTTTCCTTCCAGAGGAAGGAAAGGTCCATTTAAATTTTGTCTAAAGGTCCATTTAAATTTTCTTATAAACTTTTGACTACCATTCCACATAGGTTCCACCATATTCAGGAGAAATGTCTGACAGGGTAATTCTTTCTTCATTTTTAAAGGAGATGGATTCATTCATTCATTTCCCAAGAATTAGATTTTATACTGGAGGCAGAAGAAAGCAGCAAAAACAATGCTGTTCCTAATATCACCAGTGCTGCCCAATTCTGCATTTTCTAGAATTTGTGTAACTTTGTAGCAAAGATTCTCCCCTTGTGGACTCCTTGGTGGTGCAGGGGTTAAAGTCAGCGCTATCAAGCTATCGCCAGCCACTACACACATGGCGCAGCAGACCTCTCCTGTCTCGCCCGCTGCTCCCCTCAGCAGTGTATTTCAGTAGATGTGCCTGTTCTGCTCCCCACTCTATCTCGGGTGAATCCTCTCACCCCCTTGCACTTCTGGCCTACACCCTAGTTCTTGTATGCATAAATAAATAAAAATGAATCTTTAAAAAAAAAAGATTCTCCATTTGTGAATACACTTCCTGATGTGTAAAGGATGGATTACATGATTTCCCCTCCATCCCATCTCACCAGATTATTGGATCAGGTTCCAAATCAAAATTAGAGAAAATATCTGAAAGTATTTTTAAATTGTAAAGCATCATGCAAAGTACTAATGGGAAGCCAATTTAAAGATCATTGAGGAATACATTTTCCTAAAAACTTAAATGCATGCAATACTTAGTAGACTTCTCAACAACAACAACGTGAAATGAAGTAGAAAAAAATGTGGCCTTATTGTCTTCCTTGCCATCACCAACACCTTTGCCTGCCCCAGTGCAGTTAATTCAACAATTGAGTTAGTTAATGACAAGTTCTCTGGAAGTTTTTATCAGAAAACCAGTGATACCATGCAGACTTATTGAAAAAATAACACTTGGCATTCAAAACTAGGAATTGCCTGGAAAGGAGACAAGGGAAAGGAATTCATATTTAAGAATCTACCAGATACCAAGTACTTTTTCCAACAAGATTTCTCTGAATCTTCTTAACAATTCTGTGAGGATATGATTTACATGTGAGGAAACTGAGGTACACGGAGATTGATTTATCCATGGGCACAGAACTACAAAATAACAGATCAATGATTCCATCTGTAATCTTTCTCCTGCACTACTGTCCTGTTGGAAATTGGAATGGGGAACCGTAGGTGATATCCTGGAAAAACAGCAAAATTTATTTTAAAAAGAAATTGTGCCTCAGAATGAAGCAGAAATGCTGCTGCTTTTGACTCTCAGGCAGAGAATCTGTGGCTCTCCCAACTACTGGGGATATCTTTTATCTTGTATTCTATGGAACTGTGTTCCAGAGGTGCCATCAACAAGAGCAACAGATGTGCCCTTGGGTTGTGCCACACAACCAAAGGCCACAAGTCATCAGTGATGGAGGGTTACCTGCACCACCCTGGTTTCATCACCCAAATTGCCCACATTGACCAGAATGTTGCCACCATTAGTCTCCCTGGACAAGACACCAGCGATCACTGCAGGATCCATGCAGTACTTTTGGCCAACAGTACGCATCACAGGCTGATATCTCAGTAGATATGGCATGTCTATTTCAGCCAGTCTTTCAGAAGCGCGAACTCCTAAAGCAAACACAGAGGAAGAATGCAGCTTAGTGTGACTTCTGCTGAAGTGAGAGCTCAAGAGCAGAAAGAAAATATACTCCAAGGACCAGGGCAGCAGTCTAAAATGGAGAAGCCCATGTTTTAGTCTGAGATTCCTTAGTGGCCACTCCAGACCTGAGATTATGATTTTCCTGCTTTGATCTTCATTTGTCACTTCCTGAGGCAGTGTCCTCCAAGGCTATCAGTGCCCCAACTGTGTTCTCAGGAGCTGCTTTGGCCACCCAGGACAATTCCATGGGTACACACCCAGTTGACCCCAGCCTGGACACCCCAAACAAAGTCACCCAGTGAAATGTGCCTTTCCATCATGAAAATTCTCCCAAACCCTTCAAGAAGTCCTTGGAGAAATTGCCTCCAGGGACAGTCCCTCTTTCTACCCTAAGGTGACACCCAGAAATCATGGGAGCTTAAACTTTAATGAAATAACAAGAGTTCTGGACAAAATTAAAACTTATACTGATTTAGTTGGTTAGCTCATTTACCTTCTGAGCACTTCCATTATTTCTAAAGTACTCTCAGAATTTACAAAAACACTTGTAAAGTAAGCACTATTATCCCCCTTCCGATGGAGGCTCAAGGGAGCTAAGCGACTTGTAAAAGCAGAGTCAACACTCAGTCAAGTCTTTGGACTCCTTGTCTGGTGTTCTTGCCACCACTCAGGACCACTGGGCTGTGGGACATAGTGGGAACCAAAAGATTATATTGAGAGGATCAAAATGTGTGGGGATGGACAGGGAGCCATGGTGTAGGGCAACAAGGGAAGGCACAAAATTCTGTTGAGGCTGCCCTAGCCAAAAGTAGTCACCTTCGAAGGGAAAGAGAAAGAAGAGGAGGGAGGCAAGGTGGACAATGAGATTATAACTACCACAGATGTTCAGGCCTCGACGCCGTCCAATTACACAGGACGCCCCAGGAGTGCTGAGGGTTCGGATGTTCCCATAGCATCCCCAGTTGCTGCTTTCAGATGAATCTGCAAATTGAATACAATTTTGACCTTAGGCATTGAACCAGAATAGTTGTGATTATTACTTGGTGGAGTGATATTAACAAAACTATACTAACATCAATAATAACACCTTCATTCTGCAGAGGAAACACTTGAAACAGATAGTATATTGGCTAAAAATTTATCACAGAAACTGCCACAATGCTAAATTCTTACCCTGTCTTCTGTGGACATAAAGAGCTGCTGGAGCAGTTATAGTCCTTGCAGAGCTCTAGATCAGTCTCAGGGTGTATATTTGAAGTCTGACCTCAAGCAATACTGTATTAAGCCCACCCACATTCTGGAGAACCCCTTCTTTTTGTGGAGCATCAAGAAAGAGGCTGCAGGTTAGTGGCTGTTACTAGTCCAAGATTTGTTAAAACAGTTTAGGAGAAGAATAACATTTTCCACTGTAGTTTCAAGTGTTAGAGGTACCATTTTGTTCCTGTGCTTTTCTTCCCCACTGCAAGGTCATTTGGGAAAATGAAATACACTCACCAGTAAGGGCAAGGAGGCCCAGAAGCAGCCACAGTACAGACATGTTGATGACCTTGCTCTGTGGATCCTAAGAAGATTTTAAAATAGAAATTAGTTCAAAGATATAAAAATATTGATTGTTACAATAATAGTATGTTATGTTTTCTATAGAAAGTTGTGAAAAAAAGAAAGAAATATTTCCCCATGTCTGAACTCAGGAAATTAATAATTTGTGTGGTAATGACGAAAAGTAAACAAAGACCTTGTACCTGCTCCATCTTTTCAACTAGCTTAAAAATGATGAGACTCCTGCTGGGCCCACAGGGACTCAACCTGTTTTTGCATTACTGGATAGTAATTATTTTAAGAAACTATGATACTTTGAGTCTCAAAACTTAAAACATGGACCTGACCCCAGACTCTGAAAAGCACAATTTTGATGCATGTGCCTTATCCCAATAGCCTCTTCATAAAACATATATATATATATACACATACACATAAATACATATACATATATACATATATACATATATACACATATATATAATACAAAAAGGAGAGTTTTGTATTAGTGTTTCTCTTGATTTGGGTCCTTTTTTCTAAGGGTTAAAGGAAAGGGTATACTTTCTGCAGTGCTTTGGAGCATATTTTTGTTTAGATGGATGAAAAAGTTGGAGGACATTTCCCACTGCTTTCACCCCCTAGTCTGGGAATCTCAGACCCACTTGGCCAACTTGAATCGTGTTCCCTATTCTCTCTCTGCAAAGTTCCTGCTCAGGAACAAGGCTGGGCCAGAGCCCAGCAGGAACAGAGAAACAGTCTACTTCCACCAGCAAAGCCAAATGCCCAATAGTCCTGTGCTGGGAAGGACTGAAGTCATAGGAGGCTCACTTGACCAGAAAACTGCCTGTGGTCACCATTAATCAAACATTTGCTCCCGTGCACTTTTCTCTCTTTCTCATCTCAACTATTCCTCTAATCACCTTCCATTTGTACAGAGTGATGGTCTCCCTACTAACTCCCTCCATTAGCCACCAAATGAATACCAAACGCTAACCAGAATAGTTTCCAGTTGACCCCAGGAAATGCTGGAGGAATCAGCCACTTGCCCCCCAAGTTCCATCTACTACCAACACCTCCCACCGCAAGGTGGTCCCCTGATCTCCTTTGGTCAGTGGAGCATGGCTGCCTGTCATTTTGAATTATTACTATCATTACAATAAGTTTGCATATAAATATGGCACTTAGCTCTATTAGAACATTTTCTCCTATCTTTTGTTTTATTCTTATGGGTGATTCCTTCTAAACACCCAGGAAGATATCACGTCTTGAGATAAGTAGAGGTATTAGGGAAGTCATTTGAATTGTCTTCCTAAACCAAGGGAGTGTGTGCCCCTCAGATATGGCCTTGCTTTTTGTTTTTCTTTCCTACAACATTGAGATGGTCTATCTGATTTTCCTTAGTTCAGGAGAAATTGTCATGTTCACTCCCAACACGAGAAAGATACAGGAATTTGGCATTTCAGCTGTGTCTGCAGGAACTCTCAGATTTAATTGCAAGAATCATTTATTAGCACCCACTGAATTCCCAACCGCGAATGAGAGAGGACACTCAATCCTAGGGAAAAGGATGGAGAAAGATCACCACTGGTTCAGAAAAAGTTCTCATAAAGGTGTATTCTTACAGAGGCGTTTCACTGTCTTTATGGAAAGAGCACTTCTGAAAAAGAACTGTTTGCGTTCAGATGCTAAATGGTATTTTTTACTTTTTCTAATGTTTTTCTGGGGAGCAAAAACACTTTCTATGGAAATATCAAGTGGAAAGGCATAGCTTTTATTGCAGAGTGATAGCTACTTTGTTTTCCAAGCATAGAACTAAGTATTGTATTGAGCAAATACTTGAATGGAAAAAGCTGTATAAATAGATGTGCTAAATTACTTAGGAACACACAGTTACTTTCTATAAGTTTTTTCCCCAATTATGTCAGGAAGGAGCAAGAAGTGACAATGGACATAATCACAGCAAGTTGGTGCAAAACAATCCCGTGACTCAACTTTACAGGTGCCAAAAAGTACTATATGTTTATTAGGGATTATTGTAGCATCTCTGGAGTATGCTCAGAATATGTCCATCAGTTACCTATGACTAACCAGTCAGTACCTCTGTGGCTCCATGCACAGAAACCATTATTAGAACGTCAGGCCAAGACAACATAGTGATCATGACGCTAAGCACAGTATTTGCCTTGGCATCCCCCTACTCCCTTCCGGGTGCACAAACAGTAACTAACTAGCCCCATGAGCAAGTCAACAATCTGGATCAGCAGACACCAGGAAATACAACCCGAGGTTGCCAGAAGCCTCTGCCCACCCTCCTTCCACTGACTACTTGTCATTCTCAAAGCATTGTTTAGATTTATAAGGGACCTTTTCTTCCACAGTTAAACAATTTTCCTGGGAAAGGTAGACAGAGGTCTTTGGTCTTTCTGTTACCATAGAACTTCCATCCTATTCCTCTTCCATGAATGTTCTCTCTGATCTTTGCCATAATATAAACCTTGAGCCCTAGCCACCCCAGGTCCTTAGGGTCCTCCAATCAGCCAGACAAATGTGCTGTATTAACACCCTGAGGTGGGGCCTCCCTGGTGGCACAAGGGGTTAAACACAACACTGTGAAGCAGCCACTGCAGCACGAGTTTGATCCCCGGCTGGCCAGGGAGCTACCTACATGGCGCAGCAGACCTCTCCTCCTGTCTCACCCACTGCTCCCCTCAGCAGTGTATTTCAGTCAACCCGCCTGTTCTGTTTTCCACTCTGTCTCTGGTGAATCCTTTCACTGCCCGCACCTCTGGCCTGTCCCCCAGTTCTTGTATGCATAAATAAATAAATAAATAAACTGCCCTGTGTATCCACATTAGTCATGTCTCCTATTCCACATATTGTATTATATTGTATTGTGTTGTATTGTATTGTATTGTATTGTATTGTATTGTATTGTATTGTATTGTATTGTCACCCTGTTTTTATACCTAACTTGTCTCTCCATCTGCTTGCTGCCTGTGGACTGCAAGGCCTTTCCAGTAACATCCCATCTTAGTCATCTCTTTCTGCCTTGTCCTTCCCTTCCCTCCTTACACACGCTGCAACACCCCAGTCCACTGCCTCCAAGATTGCTATGCACCACTGGCTTTACATTAAAATAATAACAATGCCGGGCCTCCCTGGTGGCTCAGCGGTTGAGCGCTGGGTTGCGAAGCTGCCCGAAGCCTCCGCGGCACCGGTTCGATCCCTGGCTGCTCCCCAGCCACCAGAGGAGGGTCCCACATGGCGCGCAGACCTCTCCTGCCGCCCACTGCTCCCCTCAGCAGTGTACTTCGGTCCTTCTGCCTGCTCTGCTCCCCTCTCTGGCTCTGGTGAATTCTCTCACCCTCTCACGCTTCTGACTGTACCCAGTGCTTGTATAAATAAATAAATAAAAAATAAATCTAAAAAAAAAAAAAAATAATAACAATGCCCGTCACAAATGTAAAATGTGTTGAACACTAGAGTCACATTTTCCTGAGAAAAATCTAGCCTTTTCAGATTAAATCTGAAGGCTCCTTTTAAACTCACTCTTTGCAGAGTTGCATTTTCACATAGTCTGTGAAAACAAATGTTTACTAAATTTGGATGGTGAGCAATGAAGAGCAGAAAGAGCTCAGTCTTGATCTCTTCTCTTCATTCTCTTCAGGTAAATCCTTCCCTTGTCTAAAGAGAAGTGGATGGATTTTTTTTTTCTCAGTACAAACTCTGCCTGATTTCTTCACTTTAGGACAAGATTTTTGCTTTCCCAGAGTTGTGAACTCCAGAAAGGCTCCTCTCCTGATGCTGGATCCCAGGAATATCAAAGAGGTCAATTAATAATTCAAATTAATGAGATCAAATCAATGAAAACACAAGCCTCTCCATTCCATTCAAGACTCACAAAGCTTGTCAATCCTTTAACTTTGTCAAACTTATGCCATCAGGTATTTTTGACCCAGAGACTCTTAGAGCTTCCAGAGAACCATCTGTTACTGTTTCTGAACCATCACATAAGGTCTATGGGGTTAATGTAACCTTGGCAGTAGTGAGTGTGAGGATGAGGGAGGGAGGGACTACTGCAGTTTTTTGGTTTTGAATTCACACAAAAAAAGACATCCTATCTAGCCGATTACAGCTTTTGTTAAATACACAAATGTTTCTGTTCTCCCATTCTTTGCTTTACCCTTGTTCACAAATCCAAAAGTAACTATTTACTGCATTAAATACAATCTAAATTTTTGTAACTATTGTAATAAACCATAAAAAGCATTCTACCATCTTTCATAACTTGGGTTTTCTTTGCAAGGTCCTTGAGTTTTATCTGACTCCAACTTTTCTTATTTACTTAGCAACAGAGACACAACCATTACTAATTGATCACCCTATGCTGGATTTTTCCTAAACAGGTCTAAGCATAAATCTCACAGCTCTGTTTTACACTCACCTGTCTCCAGTTAGCTCTCCGTCCTGAGAGGCAGTGAGTCCACAGCCCTTTATATAGAGCCCCTGTCTTACTTCCTCTTTTTAAAGTGTTTACTTCACCCTATTATGAAGAGATTTATGGTTAAGTTGTACAAATTACAGCAATAATCATAATAATTACAAACACTTTGAACTTATATAGGACCTTTTATTCAAGAATGACCTGGCATTTTGCAAACATTAACCAATTAGTTCCTTACCACACCTCAGAGGGCAGGTCCTAGTTGTGGGTTCACTTTGACCCTTTTGGTAAAACACTTACTTATTTGCACCATTTTCTGGAAATAGAGTCAAACAAGAAAGAAAAGAAGAAAAGAAGGGAGGGAAGGAAAGAGAAAAGAAGGAAGAAGAGAGGGAGGAAGAAAGGAAAGAAATTGAATTTGGAGTGTCAAAAATTTATACTCAGTTTGTATTTCATTGTTTTTTTAAAGAGTTATTTATTTGTGCATACAAGAGCTGGGGTACAGGCCAGAAGTGTGTAGGGTGTGTGTGCGAGAGGATTCACCAGAGACAGAG